ACTCACACTAGAAAAGCTCCTCTATAAATAGTATCTCAAACATTGACAATTGACTTAGAATGAGATGGCTACTCAGAGGTGAAAAAGTCATCTGGGATAATTTCTTTTTTCCCCAATTGTAGAGGATATATATGTGCACACCAATCCCATCTATCTTACAAGAATGCTCTAATTCAGGAAGAGAAATAGCTTTGAACTTTCATGCTGAGCAATACTTACACATAGGAAACCTTCAGCTTAATTCCCATGAACTCCAAAGGCATACAGAAGTGCAGCCAACAATTGTGATTTACACCATCCTGCACATCCCAAAATACTTCCTGGTGATGCCTGAGGCTTTGCTAAGGATTGATGTGAGTCTGCTCTCAGGCTCATCTGTCCTCCCTTCTACCAGGCTGTCAACTTGTCTTCGGATACAACTGTGTTCTTGGTTTACAAAACGAATTTTTGGATACTGCTGAGTCAGTTCTGAGAACTCCAGGCAAAAAAGTCATGGAACAGACCATTCTCAGGGACAGTCTGGAGTCACTCTTTCAAATACAGTTCCCGTGTTCCCTAAGACAGTAAATGCTTAAGCAAGATACCATTTAAAAAAGGATGCCTGAAAAGTAGGTACCTCGTTTGGTCTGCTGTCCTTTAATAATAAAAAACAGGTTTTTTGAGACTGAGGCCCAGATGATGCATTAATTCTAACTATGAGTACTATAAAACAAAGTGACATTTAAAAGAAAAAAGATAGTTACGGTTCCAAATTTCCTTTTACTAGAGGCATCAAAACAAGTATTTCCTTTGCTTAGTCCTCACATTATCTGCTCAGTCCCTGTTCAGGCTGTAAGATTGCAGTGGTGGGACAGCCTGAGAGATCAGCAAAATAATCAAGGAAGGTAGAGAATAAACTGCAAAGAAGGGAACAATCACTTTTTGGTATAAGTAGAACTAAAATACTTCCAAATTCAAAAGACAATTGAGCACTACCTGCTGACATTACTAATTAGCCCACTGAGAAAAGAACTGCTTTGCTATACACTTACTTATCATCCAGCCCTGGGAAACTCATCCTTAACCACTGCTGTACAAAACACTAAGAAAAGCAGGTAATTCCTGGCATTTCTGGCCTTTTTTAAGACACCAGCAGAAGACACCTTCCAAACAGATTTTCCCTGGTTTTAGTTGGGAAGATGCAGAGGAACCAAGCTTGTTGCTGTGCTCTGCTTCACCCATGAAGAAGGACGGACACACAATTGCTGCCACAGTGCTGCTCCCAGCAGCCACCACATCCCCCCTGAGCACATCCCACCCATGGCACCCCCTCCTCCCACAGCCCCTCTGCAGGCAGTGCGAGCTCATGGGCTGAGTCTCAGCAGCCCAGACTCTCCTAAGGCTTCCAATGCTGTAACAGTAGAAAGACAGAAAAATACAGCAAAAGTGCATTGCCCAAACCATTGAAGAGATATTTCCTTCTGATTTTGAGAAAGTGCTGTTTGCAGTTTCTAATATTATTTTTGTATGAAAACCTGCACAAGAGGTGCCTTCATTTAGCAGTTCTCAAATTATTCTACCCTGCAAATCATAAATTAAATTTGTGTGGCTAATGTGTGTACTAATAAGCTAACTATTTAATACAAATGTGAGTAAATGGACAAAACTGTGTTCAGGTTGAAAAACCACCTCTCCAGCTGCATAGGTACTTTAAAAATACGTATTTGGTTTTCTCTAACCCTTACCTTAACAGGTGAGTTTATCATCAAAATTAGTGCTTACCTGAACATAGTTTGGTGATTCTCTGATTTTAATTTCATAGACATTAAGTAAGGATTTCCTATTTTGAGTCTAGAGACACAGCAGTAGCAAAACACACACGATCTATTACCTGGATGAATATCTTGCATAATACTCAGGTAGGAAAACAAATCTGCATATTTAATACTGCCAAAGGGAATCCGTCAAAACCAGTGCAAAGAAGGACTGGATTACATCAAGTATATTTCCAGTTCTTGCTTGAGGAAAAGTAGATTTAGAGTTAATCAAACAGCAATCAATCAACTGCATTATTAGAAGACAGGATTTTTTCAGCTCTGGTTTAAATTCATGAAAAGACCTTGGTCTCTGCGTTGTGTTTAAGTGAGGGTGTGATCTGCTGCAGAACCTCTTAGCCTTTCCTCACTAAAGTGGATCTACATGAATAACCACCAGGCACTCAATAATAAAGAGCTTTGGGATAGGTAAATGTGTAGGGATGACATGAGGAGTCATTTGAAAGGAATTACAGAAGAGAGGAGGACAAGTAAACCCCACCATCAGCGGGGTTGTGTATCTACTGCAGAACTGCTGTGTAACCACAGCAGCCCCTGAACTCCAGAGCGCTGGCCAGGGCACCCTGGGCCCCTTCCCAAAGGGGTTTTTCCCCACGAGGGTAGAGGCACATATAAGTAAGAAGATCAGTCCAGATCCTGTGGCAGCTACTTCTGTCTCAAAGAGAACACAATAAGGCTTACTTCCCCAAACCACTCAATTTCAGTCAAAACACTTAAACAAAACAATCTCATGTACAAATTTATGAAATAAAAAATTCAAGTGTAAGACACTGATGAAGCAAAGATTTGGCTCCCAGTGAGAAATCCACCCATCAAAATTCAGTGCACCCCTCATAGTGCAAAGTAGAAGTAGCTTCAAAAAAACTTAAATGACAGATATGTGGTTTTGGGAATCTTATTTTAGGTTGTTTGTTCACTTGTGGTTTTTTTTTTCCACTGGGCATTATTTTGGGCATCACGTATCTATGTGCTGACAACCTCTTAATGACGGTTTTATTTTAAAAAACACTGAATTTGACCATTTTTATCAGCTTATTGATACACATCCTTCTCACATACACCTAAACCTATGCTAGGGGGACTATCCACTGGCAGCTAGTGGCAAAAATTAATCCTGTTAGCACCTGCAAGTAATTTGCAGATTATATGCAATACCAGCAGCTCAGTAACACCTCTGAGGCCAATGACAGCTGAGCCAGAATTATTGCTGACTTCTACCATTAATTTCTACCACAGAAGAATTGGATATGAAGCATTCAGACAGCCCAGACTGGATCTTTTAAATTTCTTTTTATTTTTTTAATTTATACCACCATGAATCTTCCTTACACCAATTTAAATTTCAATGAGCTCCAAAGATGTACCTTAAGAAGAAGAGGAGCTTGTTGGCAGGCACATTTTTCCGCTGGCAGAATATGTTCCTCAAACAATTATGTCTTATCACAACACTCACTTAAAATTTTACATCAAACTGTATCATGGGGCCCTTTTAAAAACCCCTCATTAATGATGATTATGTAAGTACCATTAGATGTGAGACATTCCCATATTGCTCGTAGGAGTTATGATTTAATTCTGCTAAAATCTACTCTACATTTGTGTAATCACTCCTGACATTTTACCTTTTGTTTTGTAAAACATTATTGTCTGTCACAGGGAAAAAAAAAAAAGATGATATTTTGGTTGTCATTGCAATCTGATTGAAAAGATGTTATTAATTAAATCTTGTACACAGTTATACCTGAAAACTCACTGACAGCTCTTGGGGGAAGATATATTACTGGAAGACAGTTGTTATTTAGGTCTCTGAGGCAACACAAAGGCACTAATAAATCTCACACACATTCCTGTGAGTTAGGCTGATATTTTTCAGCATTTGTGGGGAATAATTAAGCTTTGGCCTTTCCTAGTGACCAGCATGGTTCAGAGTGGTCCATGACCCTACGGACCACTACAAAGGAATATTTGCACTTGCTTTAACTCAGGAGATGAGTTTGCAAACACACAGAAGCAGAGCTGAGAACTCACTGTCCTCACAAGACATAACACCAGGTTCTGGTTTAGAGAACCTAGGCTGAGGTTTCTACCAAAAGGGGGAGGACAAAGACATTTTACCAGAGCTGGAATTTTCATTTTCTGTTTGTCACTCATTGACTTATTTTTGTCATCAGAAAGGTTACAGAGGAAATACTCTTTCACAGGATAAATAAACAGAAACAGCTAAAAACTTCCAATTGTCTATAGCCAGAGCTTTGACCAATTTCCTTAATTAGCAGCAAGCTTCCTTTCACAGAAGTTAGTGATAGTCCTGCTCAAGTTAATACTACACTACAAATATGCACTGTATAAAATATATATATTCTCCTGAGTGGAGACAGTGTCCATCTCACAAACAAAGAGGAGAAATTTCTCAAGTTATTATAATAAACATTGGGTTTTTTTCAGCATTTTCATTTCGGTGCCCATATCTTTACAGGAAATAGGGAATCTCATCAAAAAAGGAGTTTTGAAAGTTCTTACTTACCTTGGTCACATGGGACACAGGGAATTAAGTTTTCCTGCATAATGTGCTCTTTGAGCTGGGGTTGGGGCTTCTGAGTGCTCTGAAGGTACATGTGATGTGACTAGTGATCAAATTACTTCATGAGGGAAAGTTCATCACAGTCAGGGCAACTGCTTAAAATGCAACATAAACATGTCTGTGTCAATATTTTGACTTTGTGTAAACAATTCAAGCTGCATCACTCTGGAGGTAATGACACATAATGCTGCATAAAATGCTCTGAAACGGTTTTACTGAATTAATTTGCATTTGAGCTCTGGAAGAAAATTGGTCTGCAGTGGAAAAGTGTGAACTTCTGTGGTCCCGCTAAATATGATCCTAATGAGATCTGGATCTTCCACAAGCATCCTGGGAAAGGGCTTCTCTACTACAAGGTAAAAGGGAAAAGAATGATTTTCAGAGACTGCACTGTCTTTAATCCATTTACAGAGCTTCAGAAATTCAATATGACAGAGTGGAATATATGATTCTGCCTGAGTATAAATGACATATTTCTTACCACTCTGATGCTGTACCTCTGGGCAAACACTTTTTCCCCTTTTGTGCAACATCATGAGCTCAGGCTGGAAAGGACATTGATCAGTATTTAAGAATCCTGCTAATAAAACTAAGGGAAAGCAATCTGTACATAGGAGTTTATTTAGATGCCCACAGATTTTAAATCATTCCCCTTCATATCTCAGCCCACTGGGTATCTTATCCAACTGAATTACCATTGGGTTTTACAATGTGATATACAAAATGAGCTGACATTATGATTTACAAACATCCTTTGAGTATCATATAAAACACAACTCTTTCCCTTTTTATACAATCATCAGGGCAATGCAAATAGAGTCAATTCACTATTAGCTGAAAATGATGGGGCCTTTTATGAAAATAAATTTAACTTTACCACACAAAGCTGTTAACTAAAACAAAACCTGGTTAAAAAATTGGAATAAAGTTATCTGAATATCTGAAGGTAATTTTATATTCTTTGCCACTGTCCCCTTATAAATGTAATAGTACTTCGTTTAACAACTAATATTTTCACTGTATACTCACACTTCTTTCTTATTGATCAGTTTCACATTTTCTTCATGAAACTATGAAAAACTCACAAATGTAGACTTTCCAAACTGTAGCCACTATAGTTATTTCTGCAATCTTTTCCATATATTCAGTGTGTTTAATTAAATAAACAAAAAGAGAAAAAGACACTACACAAATGAGCAGAACAAAACACAACAGCACATTAAAAATGTGACATTTAAGCTGTAGATGCATCGCCATAGAAATATATTCTTGTTCTAATACTTTCTAGCCTGTGGAAAAAAACAGACATTAGTTGAAGAGAATTTAAGATCTAACCTCCATATAGGGCTAAGAGTCTTGATTTAAATTCCTGTCTAAACTTAGGTCCTCAACAACACAGTAAATTCAAGTATTTTTGAATGCCATAAAATATGAAAAGATAAAATCTGTTTCTGAGCTGTTGGTAATGGAAGTTACCAAGCATTAAGGTCTCCTGTTGCTGGAACAGGTGCCTCTGCACTTTGTCACTATGGCAGCAGTAACAGGATGACAGACATCATTATTACCATAAACACAAAAGAGGAAAAATTCTGAACTCATCAATGATGTTACAAATGCAAGCAAATTCTAACCTACTCAACTTAAACTACATAATCTTAAGGGTCTCTGACAGTTTTAGCACTGTATAATCCAGAGGAATTATACTAATGACTGGTGATTCCTCCTCGAATATGTGTTGAATTGGCAGTGGGATGGGGTTTTAGTTCCATTTCTCACCATAGAAGTCTTGTTGCTGCTCTGCATGTTTGAAGAAGAAAGTGCTTATTCTGCCATTTCATTCAGTTCATGGCATTTAATTTTATAGTTTAAGACAGACTTATTTTGATTACTTTCATTCTGTCCATACCTTTGAATGCTTTAAAATGTTGGACAGCTGTGAAATATAAGTATTATGCAATCTGACTGTACATACATACATATTTTCATAAATACATCTAACAGGGACCTTGGAACCAAGTATGTGATATCATGGGACAAAATCACAACAGGCTGTCTTATTTGTAAAATCTAGATTCAAAATAAGAAGAGCTGAATTCTATCAATGTTGTCAATACACAAATTAAAACAAAAAATACAGCATTAGTTTACCCATGAAATAATTTAAACATATTTGCAAATTTCTTGACAGGAAAGGTGTGTAATTTACAACACTGAAAACTTGTAGCAACCATTGATTTCTATATGCTGTGCTGGAAGTCACCTGGACAAGGCTAGCAAGGATGAGCATAGTGACAGCTCCCAAAGGCAACTCCCAAACACCTTCCTCGTTCGGAGACTTGGCTAATTGTCCGTTGTATAAAATGCCAATGCACACAGCTTCCTTCAGGTGGTAACTCCAGCAGTTTTCCTCCCTTGGCACAGTCCACTCTGCCCAGGTCAGTTATTGTTGAGACACTCTAAATCCACCGAGCAGCAGACATTCCCGTTCTGCATGGACAAACAAGCAGGACAGGTCACAGGGAGCAAAGGGCTGGTGGCATGCAGACATAGGTGCATCCCTGACACATTACCACCTAAAAACACCTGCCCCCAGCACCCAGGGTGTTGGCATTGCTCCCAACAGTGGCTCTTTGAGGAGGCCAACTTTGCCAAACAGCACTGAACTGGCCTGAACTACCTCAGGAGCTTGAAACCTGGATGTGGTCCCCATAATAAAATACAGCACAGCAATGGCAACAGATGACAGGATCTTTCTCTCATGCAAGAAGTTAATGGAGAGAATTTTGATGTGATCCACACAGGGAAGCTTTCTGCTTGTCTGAAATTAGAAGACAGGTCAGGTGCTTGGTTCATGGCAGATATGGAGGGGATAAGGGCAACATCAACACCATACAGCTTTGGAATTTAATCCATTGTTAAGTATCCTTTTCTAACACGCAGTCATTTATAAAGACATCTTAGGTAATAAAAAAGTACAGCAACTACTAAAAGCCCAAATGAGCTTTTTTTTTTTTTTTTTTTTTTACTTTTTTTTTTAATCCATCACAAATCTAAAGGAAAAAAGGCTCAAAAGAATGGCAGAAACACTACCTTCAATAATTTAAAGCCCTGGGGCAATAGCTTTCTCTCCTAGAGTGAACAGAAGAACATTTTATGTAACCCAAAACATTTTCATAATTCTGATATTAGCACAGTGGGGTCACCACTGCACGAAGCAAGGGAAATAGACTGCACTCCTGCATGAGAGCCATTGGATTAAATACATCTTGATGAGATCAGGGAACAGAAACTGTGACATTCCCTTGCCATCACTACTGTGGGAGTGCCTTTATCTCAGAGCTGCAATGCCTTTTAACTTGTGTATTTGCTGGTGAAACTTTTACGGTAGTGCTTTTGCTTCAGCTTTCCAGTTCTGTAATACACATTTTCATGAACATCCACACTAGGTAATTATTGAAATGTTACTCTTGACTCATACTGAGAATGCCTGAAGGGCACTTCAAGAGAATGAAAGTTTCACTAGGATAGTAATACATCTGTGCTCAACATTTCAACAAGGAGAGAATTGTTTTGCTTATACTCTGCCAGACAGAAAACACATGGGTTTCCTGTTGGCTCTCAGGTCTCATTTACTTCCCCAAGATCTTAATGTGAGCCTCCAGGGGAAGCAATGGACCCCAATTTTATCAGATACATTCCAAAACCATTCCACCTGGCCCATCATACCTTGCATTTGCAGGTTGTACAAGGAGATCCCACCATTGTCCACACAGCACCGCTAAGCCTTGTGATTCCATAACCATCTGGACAGGTTTTCCTGATGTCATAGGTGATGTTGTCAGCCAGACAGGGGTCACTGACACAGTGAGGACAGCAGTCTCCTTCTGAGATGGCTGTGTACTCGCAGTTCAGGGTCGGGCACTGAAGAGGCCAACAATCCACCTCTCCGTCCTATAAATATTGAACCAAGTGTCATTGTACTTGCCATTTATGAACCAATAAGAAACTATTTACCCTTTTGAATGAGAAAGTATTGTTTCACCAAAATTGCAACAAACCGAATCGTTCAGACCTCAGATTGGTTGATCACACAAATACATATTTGAATACTGAGCTGAAGTTTCCTAAATGTAGCAGATTATCATTTGGTTGATTCCTGACTAAACAACAACACTCATCATTGTAGCAGGAGAACTTGAGTTCTTTGGGGCTTTTGAAGGCAGGGTTAAATACTGGGTACTAATATTTTGTACAAACTGTAATTTTGCTGTGATTGCCTTGCAGACACATGCACTCTTTCTACTCCTGGTCACATGAACATCTCTGCAGGATCACAGCAAGCCTTTAAAAAGAAAGTTAACCTACATCTATTGCAGATAGATGTAGGTTAGTATGTTGGAGAAGCACCGAACATCAATCTAAGTAGCAACTGCCAGTACCAACTTTATTGTCAGCTCCTAAAGGAATCATTAGAGCAATACCATTTGTGTTCCACTGACTCATTTTATTCCACCATTTATATATTTTTAATTTTGTTATTATTTTTATTTGAAAAAAACTTGAAACACTTTAGCAGATAGAGAGACAGATGGAGAAGACAAAAACATCAGGTCACTTCTGCACAGTATTTCTCAGTGCGTCTAAATTTAACTTGGAGAGGTCTTCAATAACTTGCTCTATACTGCTCTGTAAACACTTCAGGTGCTGAGAACATCACACACTGCACAGAACCTTACATACAACACTGATTTAGGGCATCACTGTCTTACAGCTTTGGATGTTATCCCAATCATAAAATTAGGCAAGAAACTGCAAGCCACAACCTCAATACTTACTCTGTGCATTATGGATAATTACCTCATGACAGTAACTTAGCTTTGAATGTAATTTCTTTCCTGATTCTCAGACACCTCTTGATTATAACATATATAAAGACTATGTTATACAGACAGCTATAAATGGAAAACTGATAATTTTAATGAAGTTCATTGATGCACTAATTAGCATATCTATGAAAAACCTAAAGCTTTAAGGGAATAATCTGTAGTGTCTAATGAGGAAATAAGTGATCATTATTCTATATGTTTTTCTAGTAATTTCAGTCTTCTTTATCCTTATTTGGTTAATTTTTTCTAATTTATACAGTGGCAATGGCACTCCATGTTTCCAGATTTGCAGAATTCAAACAAACAAATGAATAAATAAATAAATTTATTATTCCTTTTGACAAGACAAGCCCACCAGATGTAATTAAAAACTGAAACTTCTCCAATCAACTCCATCACATGCGAAAAAGCTTTGAAAAAGTCATTAAATATCAGACAACCTTATAAAAGTTATCAAAAGCAGACTAATGCTAAAATTAATATAGTGTCGAGATTTCCAAGCTCTTGTTGAGTTTTCAAGTTTTCTCATTAGACCTGCTTATTCAGCAGTAAGACAAAAACTGATGGTGTAGCTGTCAGTTCTCTGGGGCTCTCTAAGTGCTTTATCATCACCCCCAGTCTGAAAAGCAGGTGGAGAAAGAGCCATGAGCCTGCCTCCAGGGCTGTTTTGCTAAAAGCCATAATCCTTATTATTCTCACTCCTATCCAAAGTGCTTTGCTCGTACCAGGCAACGGCACTGCTGGCAGCTGTAGGTCCAGTTGTCCCCGCTGCGGTAGAGCTTGTGCCCCGTCTGGTCGAGGCACTGGCTGGTGACGCGAGTGTCGCACTCCGGGCAGCAGAAGAGGTCGGCGCTGGGGTTCCTGCAGTCACAGGCTGTTCTCCGGCAGAAAATCCTCCCGTCCTGCAAGCACACATTGCCCTGGCATCAGCCACAAACCAGGTAAGGGCACAGGGGGTGTACAGCAAAGGGCACATCTTTGGCTAATCAGGAAATATTAATTTCTTAGTGTATTCCATGCCAATTAGGAGTGGATCTTGCCTGTCATAATACAACAAATACCAGTACTATCCCACTTTCTGTCAGTGCATGGATCCAGTTCTGTCTGAATCTGACAACACTGTTTTCCCATCTCCAGCCAACTGAATTTAAAAGCAGTCAGTATCTCAGTGAAATACAGTGAAGCCATTTCACATCTCATTGATTACATCAACAAACTCTTCAAGCAGTTGCCACTCTAATACATATAATATTTATTTAGCACTATTTTGACTGAATGTACCACTGTGAGGAAAATAAGTTGAATAAAGGTGATCCCTTTAACTTAATCAGGGCAAAATATAGCACAATCACAGTAGCACTAATTGTTCTTTATTCTGACCTCTGTATCTGTCCCACATCTGGGCCTACACTACACTAGCTCAAAGATAAAAGAACCTATCATTCATTATAATTCAGTGCATGTATTACAGAGGGCCTGGATAAAGCTATATTCTGCTTTGACTCACAACTATACAATTCCTAAAGCAACTCCATTCATTTCATTGCAGTTTTTCCTAGCCTCATGGGAACTTTGTTCTGAGTCTATTATCTGATGTAAGGAAGGAAATTTCACTGACACCAAATATAGGAACACCTTTCAATGCAGTGGAATTTATTTCCTCTGATCCTTGAAAAAAACTTATTTCTAATAAGAGTGAGTGCAGCCCAGGATGTCTTTTCCACAGGCAGACAAAACAGCCATAAGTACAGGAAAGGATCACAGAATGGTTTGAGCTGGAAGGGACACTAAAGCTCATCTTGTTCTAACCTCCCCTGCCATGGGCAGAGACACCTTCCACTAGAACAGGCTGCTCACCTTGTACCATATCTGATGTAGAGGAACCAGGGTTTGGTTCCCATTTTAAAGCAAAGCCAGTCTTGTCCACAATGCAACATGTACAAAATCAGCATCAGAGAATCACAATGCCATGTCAGTTCAGTGGCACTGCTGCATTTCATCATAGTTTTGAATGGATTAGAATACTCCTTGTTATTGTAAAAATAATTATCATTATTTCTTATGCCTAACAAGCAAAGCTGAAGACAACACAAAATTATGAGAAAGTAGAAAACATGCCAGGTTAACAAGGGTCTGAACTTTTGCAACTGCAGGGCGCGTATTACTCTACAAGCTTTGTTCAGCGTTGTACCAAACTAAGATAAGTATTCTGTACTAGTGCCTAGATTGCCACTTTAGCTGTGGGAGGAGGGATAAACAATCTTTATCTCCTTACTCAGCAGTCTGAGTAAATCACAAGGAAGAACGGCAGTAGCCCATTTCCTTAGCCAGGTCCAGCTGCACGTCAAAAGCCAGCTTAGCCAGCAGTTCTGTCAGGATGAGCAGCACCAGGCTGTGACAGGAATCCAGGGAGCCTTGACCATGGCAGTCTCTCTCCTCTTCTGTGCTGATTAATAATGGCTAACAACAGCCCATCTGCTTAAATGCAATTCAGTTTCTAAGCTTTCAAGATCAGTTTTCAAAATTCTCCTTTCAGCTGGTGACACTGCTGGTAATTCTGCGTTTCCCTGAGCATGTTCTACATTGCTTTTACTTTCCATATTTCAGAACACTGAAAAATACTGATGATTTTGCCAGAGAACTTTTGATAACCACAATACACTGCTGCTCTATTTAGTCTCTAAGCACCTGTGTTTTGTGTACAACCTCATCAGCTCTGTACATTTCAAAAAACATTTTTATCCCTATAATGCAGTGGCACAAAGCCTCATAAGCTACAGTATCTCATGTGCATCTTTGCAGCTCAGCAGTAGCCCGGATAAATACATAAAAAATTGAAATACATATATATAGAAAACCTTATTTTCTTTAGGTGAGTAATAATGTACAGCATCTTATTACTACCTCTTCCTTCCCACCTTACTCACTGAATCAGTTCTACATTCTTCAAAAGCATCAGAGGTATGCTCACAAAAATTGTTATCAAAGGAAAAACTGACACAGAAGAGGACAGCTGTTAAGGCTGGTCCAAGTTTTCACAGAGCCTCAAAGCCAGTCTGGAAAGAGATCAGACTCTGCAAAAACCAAACCACCAAATGGTTCTCACCCTCAGGAACACATCAGCTTGGCAGACCCCCCTGCTCCCAGAGCTGCTTGTATCTCCCAGGCCTATTTAGCACAGGCAAGGGAGGGCTGCCTTAACCAGAAGACAGAAGCAAAAGCCCAGACAGCACAGCCAGGCTTTGCTTTTTTCATGAGAGCACAATAGCTTCCCACTCCAAATTCTACCATTAAATGTGATGGTCTATTAGATCCACAGCAGCTCAGAAAGATGCCTATACAAGACATGTCAAATGTACTAAAGGAACAATGTTACTTTATAGTTTTGAGAATTCATGATTTTGTAAACTTTATGTACATTTAGATGAACAAGAATGGTTTGATGACACTGGGTCCAGTGAAACACTGAAATAGCCTGTGCTTCAGTAATGACACTTTGCTTCATTATATAAATGAAGCAGTATAATTTCCTCTATTCTATAGTATTCTTCTTCACAAATAGCTTTGAAGTTCATTAAGTAAGGTTAATGTATTTAATTTCCTTTGTACCAGATTGCAATTTAAAATATTTTAAAGATGGTAACTATGTGTTTCAGCCAATGCACAGAATATATCCACCTGTCCTTTGCCAGAGTAACTACAGCAGAACAAAAGCCTTTTTTTTGATAAAACAAGTAAGTAGGATCATTGCAAAGTCTGAGTAAGTAGTATAAGGAATGGTTTAGTTATATTCTGCTCTCTTTCTCACTGCAAACTGAGCAGGCTGCAAAAGATCAAGCAGGGGCAGTTTTCTACGGAACTGCATGAAAGGGAGAGGTTTGAGTAGTCTGGTGTAATGGAAGCTATCAGGATGTATAAAAATGTATTTCTTTAAACACTGAGTGATGACTTTACATTCTGCCTGAAATGTGACATATAAGGAGCTCTTCCGGTTTTCCTTAATCTGTAGACAAGAATTTGCTCTTGAAACAGGCAGCTACTGGAATAAAATTAAATGCAAATGTTAATTCACAGAGGGAAAAAGTGAAGTGAGAAAGACACATAGTAAGAGTCATAACAAGAGTGTCAGGCTCAGTTTAAACTATGTACTAGTTAATCATTTCTGTATTTTCATATTCTAGTGAGAACATTCAACATAAGATATACATGCAATGAGAAATGGTAAATAACACAAATTGCAAGCAATTTAAACTGTGAATACTAATAGTTATAATTCTGCAAAGGCAGACCAGATGTCTCCACATATATTAAACTGCTTAGTCTACTGACTGGAAATCCTTTCATAAGCTTGCCAGCTCCCCAAGATTACCATAAAAGCTTGCTATATATTCAGTAAAGTTGTACACTTCAGTTTCTGAAAGGAGGAGTTTTAGGGAGCTTGAAGCTGCTTGAAGTAAAAAACATAGCAACTCACAAGAACATACTCCCTACTGAGCCCAAACCAGCAGTGTACTTTTTAGGTTTTATTCACTCTGAAGTCTTAGTTTTCCCTTCTGCTGCACCACTGCAAAACAGAAAGGATGAGGCTTTCAGCTTCTTGCAACTTCAAAACACCTCCTTCCCTTTGTTCCCCTCTGCTTCTCTGGCTCCCAAGCATTGAGATATGGAGACTGATAGGCCAATTCCCATGCTCCATCTTCAGCTTCTCACAGAGGCCAAAACCTAATTTTACCTGAATTCATGTGTGGGCCTATAGTGCTCTGCTGTGCCTTTGGACAACTATGAACAAATCAGGTCAAAGTGACCATAAAACACCAACCACTTCTCAGATTGGGGTGTTTCTAAAATTCTTCTGATTTCAAAGAGAACATTCCTCTGTTAACTAGTGAAAATCAAGAAAGCAGAGCCAAATGTTCTTCTAACTTGATTACCATAAGAGGAAAAAATTTTAAAAAAGGGTACTGTTCAGGGGAAAAAAAACCCAAACCAACAACAAAAAACCCCCACCCTGATCTAAATGTTACCTCTTCAAGGTACCTCCACTGGTACCAGACCTGGCTTCTCCAAACAAGCAGAGAGAGCTGCACTGCTCAAGTGCAAGACCTGCCAACACAGCCAAGGAAAAAGCTGGGCTTCACCCTTCTTCACTTTGAGGAAATTAAGTGCCTGCTGCTGGGTCCTCTGACCTTTCACTCATGCGCCCACCTTTCTTCTCACCCAGTTAATTCAAATGTATTCCAAGCAAAGGGAAACACAGCCAACAGGAAGTAGGCTGACTACAGTGCTGAGAGATGCATATTCATACAAAAGAGAAATTAAAATAAGTTTTCAGCATTTCCATTAAGCATGCTGGAACCTGCACATTGTGTTAAAGGGTAATGCAAGACCCTCTTTAAGGCACACTCTGAAATGCTCTGGCCCACAGAGTGACACGGTAAAAGCTCAGCAGGGCTAGCCATTATTCAGATAAGTGTGTGGTTGTGCAAATCAAGAAAATAAATGCCTTCCCAGAAGAATATCCCCATCCCAGCTTCAGTGTCCACAGCACAGCTTACCTCTTGCCTTGGGCTTAGGCTAATATTTCTGCCAACAACAGTAGCAGCTGACATGAGCCCAGAGAATTAAAGGATTCCTGAACCCCAGGGCAGCTGGATCTCACCTTGCAGGAGCAAACGGAGCATCTGTCCTCTCTCAGGGTCCACACCTGCCCGTTCCTCTTGAAGCCACCTTCATGGGGACAGTCTCCAGTGCAAGACGGCCCAGATGGACAAAGGCAGTCAAACCCTCCTGCCAGGTTCACACAGGCTGAATCATTCCAACAGGTGTGGATCTTTAAGGCACACTCATCGATATCTGCAAAACAGCAGATTTATAAAAGCTTTGGGCACATTTTTCATGGGTAAGTTTTATTTCTGAATTAAGTAATTATTGCTTATTCTGCCTTGTTGGTGGATGAGGGTGCATTCCTTTTTATATCTGCCATATTTACTTGGGAAACTTAAAGCACTGATGGTTTTTAGGTTATTCTTCAGCATTTACTTTGATTCCACAAAGAATTCTTAAATGATCTCCATCAGGCTCAGTTGTAAATGCTGAGTCTGAGGTACCTTAGTGAAACCACTTATCAGTGACAAATCTGAACCTTCAGAAAAATGTGCATATTAATTTCCCAGTGACTGGAAACTAGCAAGCAGAGTGACTTTCTGTTAACTAGACCTCTCTCTGTTCTGAGTTTTACCTCAAAATAGAAGTGCATTATTCTTTATAATTTCCTAGCACAAGCAACATTCCCCATACTAAAAGCAGTCAGTTGCATCCTTTTCCCATTGCCAGAAGGTGTAAGTGAATTGGAAAAAAAAAAAAGGGGAAAAAAAAACCAAAAAACAAACTCAGAGGCACCTTATAAACAAAAAAAAAAAGTCTTAAAGCTATGCAGGATGATTTAGCAATGACACAAAGAATAGGTGACAAGAGAAAATGATTATACACCAGAGAAAAGCGAATTACAGTATCCCAATAAATTTGCTCTTGGAGGGTAAAATATAATTATGCAATATGAATTTATCTAGGGAGTTCATGCAGTGTTCTTTTTCTTGCAATGAAAGCTATTAGATTTTTAAGCACATTGTTCAAAATTGGTGTTTCTTTCAGACAATAACTTTGGACTTTTCTTAAACAATATATAGACAAATTGTCCAGATGAAATACCAGTAAACTGGTAGGTCTCTTTTGTTCCAACATGAACAATGAAAACTGTAATCAGCAGTGGAAGGAAGGGTGGAAAATAAAATCCTTTAGAAGTATGTGACAGTTTCTGTCATAATAGTTCCAGAATAGCATTAGATAAATTCAGAAATTACAAGGAAGAACAACCATACTTATAATTTGAAGTGACCTTATTGCTAGGGTGAAATTTTAACTGTTCAATATTGCCCAACACTACTTTTAACTTCCCTCTAAACCAACAAAGCCAAAAGAACTTACAAACAAAAGTTACCTAAAATCTAATTTAGGTAGGATGTGATGTCCACTGGCCTTACTTTTAGGACAAGTGCCACAGGTTCATGATTCATCACCTCAAAATGTCCTATCTTAAAAAGACTAAGAATTCTCTCATTCTGCTGAAGGAAACTCTTTACAACAATCATATCACTAAATTCAGTCTGGTTTGGATAGTACAATTCCTGATTTCAATTCACAAATACTCCAGGAACAAGTGGAAGCGTGGCCATGCCCTTAGATTTGATTAAATGCGAAAATCAGTCTGCACAACCGAGTCAAAGCTTTGGGCTGCCAGAAAATGACTGTTCCTTATTGTACTCACAGATCCAAAGGGAAGCTGGAGGCAATTTCACTGCCTTCACAGAGCTTCACTCCTGGGCTAACCTGTGGGCCAGTCCTTGGCACAAAAGGTTCCCAGTGGCCTGACAGCATGATTCAATTGCTCATCACTCAGACTTGCTTAAAAATGGTGCATTTTGCTGTCCTGAAAGTCTTAATTGCCAGAAAAGAACATTGTTGCCATAGTGCACAACTTAGCCATAAATGAGTACTTGAAATATTCGCTACTGGTGGTGAAAAAAGATGCAGCACTAAGAGAAATTAAAACTTGTAGTTCATTGTTTAACAAGTGCCAGAATACTGCAGGAAGTAAAAAGCATGAAGACTGACATAAAGAGAACTATGAATGAACTGGTATCAAATGAATTATATCCAAACAGCTACTGTAAAACTTAAAACATTCTCAAAGATATCCCATTTTCCTTTCAATAGACTTATATTTTTTGTTGAAAACAAAGGTATAAATGAAGTATTCACTTTGCCTTTGGTGGTTTCAACAAGAACCATCAATGTTGTCTTCCCTACCACATTAAGAGCTCCTTGACTACAATTTCTATAGGATGTAGTAGAATAACAGTGCATATTAGAAGGGTAGCTTTCACAGTTCAAAATTAAAAGGATTTCACAGATGAATATAAAGCCATATTGCCTACAGAGTTGCATTTAATTGGTTTACTTATGACACTGAAATCTAATTCTCTTTCCATGTAATTTAACAGATTTATGGAAAGCCAGATGTTAGCAATTATAGAAACTAACATTATTCATGTTTCCAGTAGTACAGACCTGTTCCCACAAAGCCAACGTAATCTCTTATGTGTATGCAGAAGGGAAGAACACTCTGTTCATGTACCTCTGCTGCTGTTCTGCATTTAGCACACATCAAAAGGATGTCCCCAATAAGAGCAGCCCAAACTGGTAAATGGGTAATTCTTGATGAAGAATCAAGCAAAGCATGAATACAAGTTCCTAATTGTTATGCAACTTCTTGGTTCTTTATGCAATAATAGTTCATTATTCTTTTATGGCATTTATTATTTAAAAGTTCTAGTCATTAGTCAGATAGAAAAGGTTTGGACACTGCACTCATTCTCAGCGGAACTTTTAACAGAACTAACTTTTTGAGAATATCCCTTTGGCAGTTTTTTATTGTTGTTGATTGCATTTCCTAAAGTCAGAACAAACAGACAACATTCTTAGTAACCTGAGGGAAAACAGTTACAAGCATGACACGTTTTTGTCCCTGTCACTCCTTCAGCCTGAAACCAGACTGGGGGCGCGGGGAAGGAAGAAGACCCCAGCCAAATGCTCCCACATTGTTAGCTCTCAGAGAGGTGCAGAAAGTATTTTATTTCAATGAAAATCAAATGGACATATCAGTGTGAGATCAGCATGTAGGTGGCTATGCAAAGCATGAAAGAAAGTACTTGTATTTAGTGCGAAATTTCTCTTTAACAACTGGAATCAATGCGTCAACTTAGGTGTTGAAAAGTTAGCCTGGTTCCGTTGTCCAAAACAATAATTTAGTGAATGTGGAAACTATGATGAGACTTTTGCATTTAGCTTATTTTTGTAGTATTCAAATCCTGCTTAGCTGAAATTCTCCATGTCCCATCAGGTTTCATTTGTTTTCCCACAACTGTTCTCAGAAGATGCAGGCCCAAACCTGGAATATTTAAAGATGGGCAAGGCAAAACTACACACAAATCTCATTTCCAATTATACCAACACAAAACAGGAAGAAGATAAAATATTAATTTATAAATCAAGCAAATTTGAAGACCACTGGAAATAGCAAGGAGACTCCTTATTTTTTCCCTGTATATAAAGGACAAGACCAAAATATCTGTCTTTATGTTTGGAGGGATTAATTTTTTCATGTATCCTGTCAACCTATGGAAATAATCTGATTTTCACACTTGAAATAGGATTTTGCAATTTTACTAATTATACTGAGATTCTTTGTGGCAAAAACTACTAATTAACTCAGATAAAAGTGGCAGAGCTTTCCTTCCACTCTCCAGACAGTTCCTTTTCAAGGAGAAGTGAGGCTATAGTGGAAACACCCATATTGAGCAGAAATTTGCTTGTACTGCAAAGCTTTAAGCAATTTTCTATCAACAACACAGCAGCAGCAAAGGGATTGCTGCCAAGACCCTCACACAACTGATCAAGATCTTGACTCTTCAAACTCTCCAGTCAGTGCTTCTATGAACAAACACACAGCCACAAGTACCTGACCATACGCATTTTAGCAATCAGTCACATTTTATGGATGAAAAAAGAAAGAAAACAAAACCACCCAAGAGGTGCTCATTTCCAATATACTCTCAAAGTACATGGATAGCTCAGTAATGTGGGCAGACAAGAAAACAGAATCAAAATGGAAGCAAATAATCCCCTGAGATGCAATTTTCTTTTCCACCCTTTTTGGCTGTAATAAGAACCAATTTGCCTCAGATATAATTATGAGAGGTCCCACTGCATTTGAATCAGGTAGAAGACAAGCATGACTGTACAGATCAACACAAGTTCATTAACTTGGTTTCAATGAAATTTTAAATCAATCCCTAGCTACATCATTTCTTAGTTTTCAAGGCTATCCAGGTTTTAATTGTAAGACTTTTTCACAGCACCTTAATAAATGTGTGCAAGCAAGCCATGCAGTGTGGTGCTCTGTATCATCATGATAAGCTGTTGCAGAAGAAAGAACCCTACTAATGTGCTAATTTTAACTGTTATGGTACATTAAACCATTACAGTATATTGTTAACATGAAAAATGTAAGCTGGGCTCCCAAACCAATGTATGTACAAGTTAACCAAACACTGTTTTGACAAATCATTTTTCACAGACAACTTGTCACTTAATGATTTTTTGCCTTCTTTTTAAATCAAAGTTATTTGGAGTTGTCCTTGAAAAATACTGCCAAACAAATTCATTTTTAGCTAGAAAATATTTTGTGATAGTACTTTTATTCTACAGAGACATAATGGTCTATTAAAGAACGGTGCACAATAAATTAGATTCTGAATAAATAATTTACTAAAACTTTCTAAAAATATAGAAATTATTAAACACAACTACCTTGAAGATACGTAACACAATTTTCTGTCAGAATACAAAAATTAGAATTTACTAGATGGAAAGTAAGTAATACAACCTTTATTTTACAGGATAAAATTCACTGACACCAACTCTGATACTGTGAGCTTTAAGAAATTCTATGAGCAGAACAGAAGAAAGCTGTAAAATAGCAGGTTCTGTTTGGTCTTGGATACTGTGTGCCACATGCAAACATTTCTACCTACACAGCATTTCCCTACCAACAGATAGGAAAGTAATTCTCAGGCATATGGCAAGATTTTTAGAGGATGGGTCTTTTCATTTTTGTGTGACACAGAAAGGGGCAAAAATAAAATCTAACCTCCTTTGCTTTTACTTTCTAATCTAGATAAGAGACACCACTGCAGCATGCCATGGAATACATGAAAGCTTCAGGAACAGATTTAAAATCCATTCAGATTTGACCTGCAAGCACTGCTGCACCCAGCTTTTGTGGGAGACTAATACCTGTGGAGTTTTCTTTCATGAGCTCTTGAGTCCTACCTTTTCCTACCTCTCACTTCCCCAAACCAGCAACTCTAATCCTGCAGTGACGTCTAGCTACACTACCTTTCAGGATGAAATAAAGGGTGAATCCTCTAGGGATTTGGTGGGAGGAGGATCCATGTTAAGCTTCCATACAAAATTTGCAGTGGTTCTTAAAGAAAAAAAATAAACAAAACCTGACAGGCACTGCTGCCTTGGTGGTTGTTCCTTCTGTGTGCGCAAGTCCCAGTGTAGGGACCAAGAAACACCATTATGAAATTATGAAAACAACATTATGAACAACAACAGAACAACAATCATTATGAAAACAACAGAATCTGTAAATCTGCACTCCAGGGTCTGAACAGCACTCTACAAGACTGGAAGCATCTTACTTAGAGATGGAGATTGAAAAGTATAATTTGCTTTGGGTTTTTGGTTTTTTTTATCAGTAGATAGTCACAAATACTGTATCACATGACAGCTCATCATTCTCTATGAAGTTTTATTGTTTCTTTACCTCAGATTGCAGCCAAGCTCCTATTACAAAATTTAAAACAAAACAAAACAAAACAAAACAAAAAAACCCAACCAAACAACACAGCAGCTGTAGCCTACAGGTTTTAATTGCCAGGCAAACTTTGGTAGCAAGTTCGTACAGCAATTGTCTTTTGTCTGCAAGCAGTGTTCTTAATAACACATTGTGAAAGACCAGGGGCTCATAAAAACACTACTGTGGGAAATCAAATTACATTCTCTTAATTTGAGCCCACTCACCATCACTATAGGAAGCTGACATCCCTGATAAAAGCTGTCTTTGGTTGATATTTTGAGCAATAAAAGAATTTTTCCAACCTTGAAGAGGCCTGGTTGAGCCACACATCCTTATTATCCAAGCTCTGGTGCAATATTATGCCCTTCCCTGCCCCATCTGCTGATTTACTCAATTGTCCCTCACCAGGTGACAAACTTCACTGTTTTCTCTTTGTTAATGAGAATTTAGCTTTTAGAAGCACTGAGGTATCACACTTCCCAAATAGATGCTATTTTTCTTAATGTTTTGCAAGCACTGCAGAGATAGTGCAAGCAATGACTCAGCTTCATAAAAAAGGAGGGAAAAGGGGTTAACCAATATGTACATAAATGTATGCAACAAAAGCAACTGGCTGCCTGGGCTTTGGGCAATCTGTCAGAGACGAGTACTCCCTCCCACTGTCTTGTGATATTTAAGACTCTGTGTAATATTTATTGTTATTATTTTGTAGGAAAGGGTTTAATCTTATTTCTTATGTTTTTAGCCTATTTATTGTTCTCCAAGTTTGTCCTTCAGGGAGGAAGAAGAAATGTTTCAAAACACACTGATAGACTACGGCTCATACCCACCTCATGTACACAAATTCAGTATACAATACACCAGGAAAAATACTGTTGCTAAGCAGGTGAACCCTCTTTTATCTGAAATAGAGTGAAAGACACCAGCTCTGACTCTAAACGTTCCACCAAGCAAACAAGCTCTGTAGTGTGACATATTAGCTAGAAGGTGCAGTGTTCTCTCTCTGTTGTTTTACCCAATTCTTAGTTGCATTTTGAAATAAACATCATGGTTTGAAATTTGTCAATATGGGTTAGCAGAATCTTCCAATTAATTTTTAAATTGTTTTATGTCATTATACTGGTGAAGCAAACTGGTTAATTTCTCTTCCTCCCTGGCACCCTGCAGCAGATGGTTCAGAGAAGCTATTTCATTAAAATAACCCCACTAATTTCACATTCTGTTTACAACTTGCATATGGCAAGAGGAGCACCTCACCTCACAGACTTCCAGCATGCTGTGCAGGTCAAAATGAGGGCAGTGTGTTTTCATGAAATCTTATTCCTGCAGTCTCCATCAAAACATTTGGGGCTTCTTTTTGCAGCGCTCAACCCTTCAACTGTGATTCAGCACAAGCAATACTGAGCTTTCCAGAGCTGAGCCTACCTGGGGGTCATCCAGAGTCTTGCCTACATGTCTGTCTTCTCCTGACATCAGCTTGGCTCTTGAACTTCTGCTTCCCAAATCAGCTGCAGGAGGCAGGAGGGACGGGGCTCCCATGTGAGTGGTACAAGCACCAGAAATGCTAAAAATGCCTCTTATGCCCATTTGCCTCAGGGCTTCCTGAAAGTTATGTCATCTTGCTTTGACTTCTCACAAAGAAGGTATTTTCAACACTGCTCCATTCATCACTGAATTTTACAACATACAAATAAACCAGAGGAGGACTCGTAACATTTGAGAATTCATTTAGAAACACATGACTTTCATCTATTTTATCTATGGAATCATGAAATGCTGTAAAATTTGCCATTTTTTTACACAGACACCCTCTGAAGAAGTTCGCTGCTGTGATTTTATTGAGCTCCCCATCAGCTTAGGACAATGTGTAAAGAGCTAACTTAGCTGGACAATCTACAAAATATTCCTTTGAAAATCATCATTCCTCTGCATTTTTAAATTATGACACTACCTTATCCCAAGGACTTCTAATAGCCACAATTCATAAAAGATGGGAATAGTTTTTACAAGTAAATTTATATATTTTTGTTACAAATTTTAATTTAAATTGTGGATTTTAAACCATAGAAAACACCCTTTGAAGTTATGGACATGATACACTAAATTTACAGCATTAAAAAAAACCCAACAAAACAACAACAACAAAAAAAAACACAAAAGGAGAAGAGCTTTTATAGAAAACTCATATAACTGACTAGAGATTAAGTAACTGAAATGCCAAAGAAAGGACATAATAACACTAGGAGCCAATTGATCTGTACCTCACAGAAGTTAAAATGGGATCCCTTCTAAAGAGTTTTAAACTCACCTGATAAAATACCACACAGAAATTATGTATAAGGCAAATAACTGAAAAGATGGAAAAACTGTAAGGCAGGGGAAAAGCAGAAAATTACCATCTTCACCATGGTTTTATTTCTGCTTACTTGCTGTAGTGGCACCCAGAGCCTACAGCCAGTGAGGGCACACAGACTGCAGGAGCCAGCATTAACTCCTCATGGAGCCCCATCCTTTGTCCTCCCATAGAAACACTGACAAACTCCTTTGCACTCATTAAAAATCCCTCTCTGTTCATGCTCTTGGGACCTTATTCTGCAAACGTGGTGCATAGAGAATTTTATGTTATTTGCATAATTCTAAAAAATTAATGATGAAGATGCTGAAAAATGGAAAACAAGCAAACCAAAGCAACACGGACATACCACAGATATGTTCTTCTATCACTCTGTTGAAACCTTGAAATGGAAAACCACCTCTTCCCCTTTTGTGGGCAATTATGCTCCCCAGCATGCCCACTTTCACTTCAGGTTTCACAGCCACTTGCTCTGATAAAGGGAGCAGTGCAGTGGGTCACGCTTTGAACGCCCCTCCTGTGGAACCCCTGCATGGCTGGGGGTGCTGACAGACAGACAGACAGACAGACAGACACCCACAGCGCACCCCATTCTGCCCTGAGACACTGCTCAGGAACTCCACAGTCACTTGGGAACACCATGCACAAGGACTGAAGAAAAAGGCTCTGCTGATCATTGCTTACCCACACAGGACTCCCCGGAAGGAGAATAGCTTCCATTGTCATGGAAACCGCTTCTGCACTCACAGTGGTACCACCCTGGGAGGTTAACACAGCGTGAATGGTTGTGACACTCACTGATCCCCTCTGCACACTCATCAATATCTGCCTCAGAGAAAAACACAAGCCAGCCAGGAAATTAATTTCCTTTGACACCAATAGTGTAGGTTTGTTTTTTTTAAAAAAATCTTATTGGTTTGGAGTTTTTTTTAAGATTTCCTTTAATAGATGGATCAAGGTTTATTACGGTTCTAAACAACAGACATTTAAAGCATGACTCACAGAACAACAATAAAAAATAACAATAATACATCATGTAATCTGTTACAGACAAGACATTCTTTTACACCATGAATTGCTGAAAATGCAAAGCAAACATGCAGATTTTTTGTTCCTTGTTCGGTTTTTTGTGTTGGGGATTTTTGTTTGCTTTTTTAACTCAGCAATTACATTTGTCTGTGTAATTGTTTTAAAGTGTTGCAGAACAGGCTGTCCACGGCAGTTTCAGCAATATTTCTGCTTTACAAACTGCATGTGCCAGGACACCTTGGAAAGAAAAAGCATTTTCTTCAGGATTTGTGTTTCCAGCATTCAGCTGCAATATTGGCAGCTGTCTGGAACTGAAGGTGCTAAGAACACTTCACAAACACTGGTTAATCTCTTTTGTTTATATGATCAAAATAAATACCCAGTACAAGTGTAACAGCGCGTGACGAACAGAAAAAGCAGTCCACATTTCAGCTGCAATAAAACATTTAGCTGGAAAAGAGTGAGGCAAATGACAGCAAGTCTGTAGCAATGGAAAGATACAGCATGATGAACACCCTGCTGCGTTTCAATAAATGTGCTCTTTTTAGAAAGGGGTTTCTCAAATTTCTGTAACATGTTTAATAGAGACTTTGTAATTGCCAGTAACCTTGGCTAATCATGGCTGGCACCTGGCTGCTTCTCTGCTTTGAGCATTTTCCAGCACATTTTGTAGGGTTGTAATTAAAATTAGCAAATTAATTATATGCTAACCTTGTGGTAATTTAAGAAGCCATTATATTTTCATTCCTCTATTCAGCTCAAGCTTTTTTTTTTTTTTTAATTTTGGACAGTTTTCTGATGGGTAACTTATCAATTAAACGGAGACTCAAATTATTCCCAAATAATTCCCACTTTCACCCACTGAGATTTTTTTTCTTGGCACACTTAAAATGTGCATAAAATTGTGCCTACAAAACAAAAAAAAAACTTGGTGAAAATAGGTTTGGAAATGACATTTAGCTCCACAAGCACCAAAGGACAAATGTCGCATGATCCTGATGCAGGACTCAGTTGTGGTTAACTAACCACAGAATGTAGCTTTTATCTCAATTTCCAAAATACACAGACCAACATGGTTTCATGGACTGCACTGGAGTCATGTTGATGTACATGGAAATCGATTTGGATGAAATATCCTTCAACACAATCCTGTTTTCTTGCATCTTACAAGCAATACCACAGAGAAGTTCAATTTTTCTTCATTTCAGTAACAATATTTATTCTTGAAATATGAAATATGGCTGAGAAACCTAAAAAATGCCATTTTCCAAGATTCGTGTTCACCCTAACTCAAGCATGAACCAAGTTATCTACATAACAGGATCATAAACACTACTTATTTCTAGCTTTATTCAGCTCCCATCTAACAAAAAAGTCAATTTTTAAATGCTTCAAGATCTGTCACTGCTGTCACCTTTTCTGTACTTTGTACTTTGTGGAAGCTAATTTTAGTGTTAAAACACTGCACGAATGTAGCTGTCCATCAACAGCGAGTGCTGCTTGCAAACTCAGACACTTTCAATTCATTACAGCAAATGGAATTTATAACCATGATCTTTTCACATGTCATGGCTGATGAAACAGGTTTAATCCTATTTGGAAAGTGAATGACTTTGCTACTGCAGGTCAATTGCAAATGAATCCTTCTCCTTCCTTTCCTTTCTTTCCCAGTGTTGGATTGGAGAATGTTTCTGTTTAAAGACTGCTTTCTTGTGTCAGTCCTGTACTGGACTTCAATCTGTTCAATTTTACACTTTTAATTTACAAAATTAATAGAGAGTTCCTAAAGTTCATTTCCAAACTTAAGCCCTTTCAAAAGTATATGATTTAGGCCCGTGGCAAAGGACACTAACTGACTAGCAGTCTACTTTTCAGAAAGCCTGTCTGCCAGGGTACCAAAACTAAGCAGCCCTTTACTCAACAGAAGAAGAGCCTCTACGTTATGTCAGAAAGTAAAATAATACACAGAACTCCTTCAAGACTAGATGACTTTACTGTGGCAGTACCATACCTGTTAGAGCTTTTGCTCCCTGATGTGTAGGGAGACACTAACCAATTTCTTCAACCAGCAGAGCTAGGAAAAAAAGATTTCCTTTCAGTTTTACAGGTTCTTCCTTTACTTCCTCGGTCTTCTTAAACCAGTGGAGCTGTGTCAGCATTGTCCTACACATGCTGGGGGCAGTGGGCAAAGGACATGAGAAGCTATGTGGGCTTTTTAGGAAAATCTGCCATGACAGACACCACTGGTGTGGAAGAAACTAGTAAAAAACTCTTCAAGCTCTACCTCCCACCACTACCTCTCCTCTTAAGGTCAAGCTCAGCACTCCTCCTTGCTCCCCAGCCCTGCCTTCTCCTGCATGCAGGTGCTGGATACAGACTGGGAGGATGGTGCAGGAAGGAGAACAGGGAATCAATTCTCCCTCTGCTTCTGCAGCAGGTTAGGATTCCTTTGGGAGCACATCAGCAGCAGCACCATGTGATGTGACATGCATGAAGAGCCGTATCAACAAGGAAAACCCTTAATGGCACTTCTGCTTATCTAACACATTACTGTTTCTTGAATTGGTGCACATAAACACTAAAAGGGTTGGAAATACCATGATGCTCTGCAAGCTTCTCCTGTGATCCTGTGTGTTGTTTGTAGCATGTGTATAAACACAGGTCTGCAGGAATAGGAAAATATTGTGGATGTTTTAGAAATTGAGATTTATGATGCTCAGAATACCAAGAGGGAAAAGCAAATAACAGCTTCATAAAATGGTATGCCATACACCATGACATTATTTAGTTCAATTAATAGACCATTTCCAGCAGGACATCTTATGTCCTCAAAACACTTTTTTTGAGCATTTCTTCTGCACAGAGAAATGTTGATATAGATAAGAGCCAGTTCAGGGAATAAGAATCAATTCACTTCTCTTCATCATTGCTTTTCCATCTTTAGATTCTAGCACCATATTTGCATACTTGCCTCAGAAAAAGTCCTTCTATCCAAGTCTGGTTTGAGTTTTTGATACAGAATTTGAGTTAGACATACACACTATTTTGGTGTGTTTTGTGTGTGCAGATGCTTACCAGAATGTGCTATGTGTACTTTCTTCTTAAAGTTATATTAAGCTGAAATGAAAGTGTACAATTCTGATCTGTGAGTGAAAACAGTGCAGAAATTCCAATCTTTTTCAAAGGAGCCCATTAAAACCTGATCAGAAATTCTGTCACTTCACACAGGCCAGAAGAAATAATTGGTGGGCAATTTTGGCTGCGTTGCCCTGCTGCAGGTGCTGCTTGCCCTTGGTGCTCCTGGTAGCAGGACAGGCAGTAGTTTTGTATGAGCTTTCTGCATGTCTGCATTAGTAACCATCATCTAAAACAGAGTGCTTGTGAGAAACTGATTATGTAATGTTTCCTTGGGAAGTTTCATAATCTTAATTTTCCTCTGCAGTCTCTGACTAAATGTCTGCGCTACCTTTCCATCAAGGGGAGTACTTTTCATTTCTTGCTCTAAGACATGCTGCTCTGATACTGTTCTTGTAGTTTTTTCATTCAAGCCTTGTTATAACATTCATGTAAAAGGAGATCTCATACAAATCGTCCTGTTGCCTGCTTTTACCCCACTCAGTCATTTGACTGCCATTAGTAGACAACTGTTAATGGATCTGGAAACACTCCACTATAGTGGCTTTGCAAATGCCCACAAATGGCACTTTTTTGCACTGGAAAATAAAAGCACCAGTTGGTTTCATATAAGCTCTTGCAAGGTATTAATCCTTTCCTTTAAGGACAGGTCTGTAATTTTTACTTTTAGCAGCTTCGTTCATTATTCATATAGGTATTTATGCAGACAAGATAAATAGGATAATTTATCTCAAAATAAAACACAATGGCTTCAGAACCCTGTGAAAAAGTAAAATTAAAATAATTCAATCTTTTCTAGTGCCCCACCACATTTAAGTCACTGTGTGATAATACTAAAAGGAAACCTGTTCAGCGTCATGTAATAGCAAGCAATCTACAGTTTCAATGAGACAGAAGAGTTTTATTGTAAAAGTGTCTATTCATCAAACCATTACTGTATTCTTTTTCATGCAAAAAATATAAATTCCTTATCTTTAGTTTCCACTTACTAGGAGACCTATAAGCAGGAAAAGTGTGTACTAACAAGAAAGGATCACACAGGTCTCAAGTTTCCTGAATTAAAATTGTACCTTGAAAGCTGACTCCGTTGCTTCCAGAGCATTTCAGCTTTGTTTTCCACATGATAGTATTTTTCTTCAACATAAAAACACCAGAAAAATGCACCCAGACAACTGAGGCATTAGCTATATTTAAAATACAGCCTCTTCTCATCTCCTACTCCAGCCTAAGTCTCACTTCCACAAGACAGAGATAGCAAGAGAGGGATGGCACTGACAGCACTATGCAAACAGTGTCCCTGCTGCACAGGATTCATTCTATTATTTCAAATAAACCCTGAAAGCAAAGACAACTACTTCGGATGAGAACAGATGAAAAAATCTCTTGCTCTCTAAAAAACTCCAACAAACCCTCCCATCTGCCTACCTCTTCAGTTTTACATAAACTCATATAAAGACTGAATTTTATCCTTTATTATTAACCCTTATTTTTTTTATATCATTAAATTTCTATATTAGCTTTGACAGTTGGCTACAAGAGGGGTCTGCCTGTATTTTTAAATATATGCAATACAAAGCAGAAATACAGTGCCAGCAGCCACCCTTAAAGTCTGCTAGATTTTCCTAGTCACAGCAGGAGAAGCTAAAACACTTTGACCTTGTCACAGGTTTGCAGCCTAGTGTGCCTGGAATACCAAGGATACAGCTGGTACTGCAATTTAGCTGTTAAACAAATGGTAACTTAGAGAACACAGATAACTCTCTAATTAAGTTACATTTGAATAATGACTGGTGGCTGTTGCTCAGCCTCATGGGGCCGCTTCATTCTTAAGACAACAGAGATACTAAAAACCAAGAAGGACAGGAAAGACATCTGTCTCAGAACTATCTGCTGGCATCATCACTTTTTAGCTTCACAGCTTTAAGTATCTCAGGTGATAAAGACTGCCCCCACCTCTGTCTGAAGCCAGCAGCAAGCTTTGGAATTACTGCTTAGGAAATTTTTCCTTGACATTTAGCCTCCTTTTTAATTATGTTCATTTTAACTCATTAGGAGATTCTGGGCAAACAATTAACACCAAATAACATATTCCTCTCTCTTCAGTAGTCATGGCTGTTTTCACAGACTGATTTTAATTGCTTTATATTTATATTGGCCTTCGCAGCTCCTTCTTGGGCAGGAACAGTTTTTCCTGTATAAATGGTACAGGCTTTGGTCCATTTTCCTATTTTGAGGATACAGTGGTAAACCATAAAACATTTGTTAAGATAATGAATGAAACTCACATTCATGAATAATCAAACCCACACAAACAGTTTAATAGTACTATATGGCTTTCAGGGATGAAATGTGTGCTCACCATCCTTTATAATTAAAGAACAGCTGTAGTATGCTTTATTGTGTAATTTTGGACCAGTGTAAAGATTTTTAATCATTTGAAACTCACATGCAAATTCAGAATGATGAGCTCACCAAGAATAAATGGAATTAAACCAATATCAGAATAATAACACAGACTAGTTGTACCAGCATTTTTAAGATTAATTCTTTTAATATATAACATCTAATTTATTGAAATTCATCTTAGTACTTTGTATACTTATACACAGTCCAAGATGATGTCTTTATGATTTTAGTGCATCTCTCTCTCATACCCTCATATTCATTGATTTCCATGCTAAATATGCAGCACACTTGGAGTATGCAACTGAAAGATCCTGGCTCATTCAAATAAATCTCACTTCACAAGACAGGAGTTGAAAGAATCTTTTCTTATATCTAAAGATTACTGGGGGATGCAGGACATAAGAACTGGAAGGAGACCATTCAGTAGAAAGCCTGGCAGGATAAAGAACTGTTTCATATTTAGCATTGCATTTCAGTTTTCACTGCACATAGGATTTTAATTATCTCTCCACAAGCCAGAAAAAGACTGTCTTCACAATTAGTGGGTTAAGTTTCAACCTGAGGCAGAGACTTTCTGTCAAATTTGAGGCTGATGGTCAACGTGTCTCTCAAACTACACCATCCTGAGAACAGCAGGGCTACTAGCCCAGTATTGAATGTATTCCAGCTCTTGGAACAATAGTGCAAATCAAGCATAATGTAGCCGGTTTGAAGACGGGCATGGGAAACACACAGGTCAAAATAACCTGTTTGCCAACTCCAGCCATTACTGAACTAATGACATGAATGTCAGGACAGAAGTTCAGCTCATTGCCTGCTAACACCTTGTACCTGCTGGCAGTATCCCACTGTTCTCCAGGAATGTGCTTTCTTACTCCTTTTGACATCATGCTGTTCCTAAACATACTGGAGCACTTTGTCAGGAGTCCAAATTTAGTGTTTTTCTACCTATTTAGGAACAGCGTGTGGTCTTCATGCTACAGTTACCCATGTAAATCACTCTGGTAGCATTTCTGCAGAGAAACTGAACTGCAGACCACTAGTAAATCAAAGACCGCCATGATTTAATTTCTATAAAATATATTAATATATATTTATTGGTATAGAGATATAATGTGCAATTAACAGGTGAGATAAATAAGGCAGAGAGAGAAACAAATACCTTTCCAAAGTTGTCCAAAACCAAACTTTGAGAAAATTCTCAGTTTTGTACTTCCAGTCCACTCTCCTTCCATTTAGGTCACCATTCTCTATTCCCTATAAAAATATTCTCAAGCAACCAGGTAGAGGGAAGGCCAACCTTTGCTCTCTTAATGATTCATGAACACGAGCTTTATTTTTTAAGAATGTTCAGTATCTTCACCCACGACTGCTAATTCAATTAAATTGTGATGCTGGAGTTGTATCTGCATATATTACATATAAGCAACTATTCAGAGTATTAGATATGCATACTAGAATAAAATGAAAACCAAGATCAATAGGAAAGGTCTGTTGTGTCAATGAGCTTTAAACAATGGAGCCCTCAGCACATAAAGGTATTCTACACAGTAAGGATTATATACATTTTTTTAAAAAAAGTTCAAACCCATTCCTAAAGCAAACTACTTTCACATACACAGCTGCTTTAAGCCTATTGAAAGCATAGCTGCTGTAAATTCAGATTCATTGAATTTACAATGACTGGTAAAACCATACTAAAAACTTACTACAGATTGCACAATTACATTCCAGAAATTCTGCATAGCAAAATACATTAAGTATCTCATAAAAAGACTATTATGTCAATGAGAATAAAAAGTACTTTTGGCGAGCAACTTTGGCATCCTGCAATTAAAGAGTTGTACGTTCTTTGCCAAGATCACAAAATTTAAGAATAACCACCTAAAGGGGACAGATGTTAAGAGAAAATAGCTGATGGGTGCCAACCAGCTGGAACACAGCTTGACACTAAAGGAGGTCCTGGTGGACACCAAGGTGGACACGAAGCAGAAAGATGACTCTGCTGTGAAGAAGGTGGATGGTGCCTTCAGCTGCATTAAATAAAGTACTGCCAGCAGGCTGAGGAGGTGATCCTTCCTGCTGCTCAGCTGGTGAGGCCACTGCTGAAATACTGGACCCAGTTGTGACCTCCCCAGCACAAGAGACAGATGGAACAGCAGTGCAGAGACCAACCTTGGGACACGAAGATGAGTGAGGACTGGGGCATCTCGCACAGCAGGAAAGGCTGAGAGGGCTGGGACTGTTTAGGCTGGAGAGGAGAAGGCTCAGAGGGGTTCCTACACACACATATAAATACCCAGAGGGAGGGTGCCAAGAGGATGGAGCCAGGCTCATCTGAGCAGGGCCCAGTGACAGGACCAGGGACTACAGGCACAAAGTGAAACACAGCAGGGCCCATCTGAACACCAGAAACACTCCTGCACTGTGAGGCTGCCCAGGGAAGCTGTGGAGTCTCCACTGGAGATACTCAAAAGCCATCTGGACGTGGTCCTGGACAACTGGCTCCAGGTGGCCGTAAGTGAGCAGGGGGTTGGACAAGGTGACTCCCAGAGGTCCCTTCCAATCTCAGCCATTCTGTCAGTCTCTGATTCTGCCTCAGAATCAGAAGGAATGCTCACTTGAATGAAAACTGATGAACTACACAGGCTGCAGGCTGCAGATTGTTCCATCAGAGCTACGAAAGATGAATGAAACCTCTTATAAAAGAGGACACTGACAAACAACATTCTCCACCCAACTTACCAGCTGTCTGCAATCCAGCGCACTGCACAAAAGGAATCATTCGGGTGACACTGGCTCTATGTATAAAACCTTCCTGGAGGAGCCTCAGCATTATTACCCAGTGCCATCAGACTTCATGCACAATCTCTAGGTACAATGCACAAGCAATATATCACTCCATCTAGCACTTGAAATGCTAAGTTTCAACATCAGTGATAGAAATAGCCTATTATCTTATCTAGAACATCCCATGACAGAGAAGAGATGTTCCCTTCTATAAATTCTTTGGTGATTTGCCTCAACCAATTTTAGAACAAGTCACATGATGAGTCCACCCCCACTTCATTGAGAAGATTATATTGCAGCCCAATAGTGCTAAGAAGTTCTTTTGATTAGTTTGAGCCCTTCCATACACGAGTATATCAAACAGCACTTGTAAAAAAAATTTCACTGCTAACAGGAGGCAGCAGCTGATGAGAAAATAATAAAGAGCACATTTTCTTCACTGTGGCTGGGGTGGCTAAATGTCAGTCATTCTCCTTAAAATTCCCATGTATACCATTGTGCCAAAGGGCACACGAAGCAAATCCAAATTACAGGTTTAGATTATAATAGTGTGCACACCCTATAGTACCCCTGAGAATCTAATAATAATGAGAAATATTCTCAATTAGTTTTTTAAAATCTTGAACTGATTAACAGCTTCAAAAAAGCATTTTCATTCATACAGTAATAAATTCTCCCAAGGAAGCAAATCCCCAAACAATCAGTATAAAATGAGCTCTTGAAATCATAAGCAGAATAATGTAAAGTTCTCTGCATCCTTAATTAGGGATGAAAATGGTTCAGGAAGGGCTGATCAATAAAGTGCAAATGATAAAAATGCATACTTTTGGAGAATGTGTGAACACAGCTAAATAAAAAGATGAAATCTGTGGTGGGTCTTCCTACACTAAATTGCAACTGCTCTCATCAAAGGAAGATCCCCAGCCACCTTGGAATAAATATATTTATTTCTGATAGTAAGAAGGGTGCATAAAAAGACCATATAAGATACCAAATAACAGAAGCCCAGAAGGGCTGCTTAAGAGAAACCAAGACTCTTGCAGCACTTTGCCTATCTCCTTGTGTTCATCATGCAAGTAAAAGACATTCTCTATTTTGGTCTGTTTGAACTTTCTCCAGCCCCACCACCTTCCATCTGTTACCCACCACCCCCTGCAGCAGTGCAGTTAAATTTATCCACCTTCCCAGCCCTGTCCCACCATGTGCACAGTCACAGAAGTGCTTTGGTGTCATGATTTCCATGCACAACCCGAAGCTGCAGAAACACGAACAAAGTGTGCTTTCCCAGTTAAACCTGGCCAGTGCCACATTTCACTTCACTACATAATCAGAGCCAACATGTTGCAAAAAACTCCACTAAAGTTTACTAAACCAACATATCTACTGACACTTTCAGAATGAAGGTGAGAATTCATCCCAGATGCTCAACTGTGCATCCTCAGGAGTCAGTGAGCTAATACAGACCTTAAAATACTGTCAGCTTAATGTCTTCTGTTTTCTTCAACACCTTAAATCAGAATTTGTTCCAGTGTTAAACTTATCTCTTCTATATAATACATTTAAAAATTGTAAACATTATAATACTTTCAATCAAGCTAGAAAGATTTCCCCAGAGAAGAGTCAAAATTCAAGAAGTCTTAGGACCCTTCTTAAAGTAAAATTCCTATTTCACATGCACTTCTAAACCTAATTAAGGAAAGTATATCAGTGTCTGTAAAAGCACAATGTTGCATCCAATGTTTCTTCCAGGTGAAAAACTCAGTCATTACTGTTACCCTTCTTTTTAAATAGTGTAATGAAGATTTCCAAATAAATAAAAAGTACCTTTTTCCTTAGTTAAAATGTGCTTTTTGAAAGCATATGCTTTCTCTTTCAATGTTAATTACAGATTGAATTTTTAACTTCACTAAATCATTAGTTGTGACTTTGATCAGACCCCAGTTCCCCCAGCCTGGGTGCTGCTTCAGACATCAATAATTCTAATTAAACCAACTCTGAGATATGACTACATAATTTCTCTAAGCAATTAAAAATGTGCAGCTGAAATAAGTAGAAAATCTTAAAAGGAAAGCCAGTGGACTCATATATTATTATTATTATTATTATTATTATTATTATTATTATTATTCCTAGTAATAACAATAATAATAATGTTATTGTTATTATACATTGCACTTCTACATTGTCCTTCATCCTTGGATATCAAAATACTTCTCAATAGCATAATACATTGTTAGGAAAAGAAAAATATAAAAAGCCTCTGTTTATTTGCCTATCTGAAAGGGGTTTAATTATTCATGATGAAGGTACAGTCACTGCTTGCTGCATGAATAAGACCTCCACACACTAAAACCACACATTTATCCAAATGGATTTTGTGTTCTTCATTTCATTAAATTAACCAAGTTTTATTATACCTAAGTTGAATTCAATTGTTTTTATTAACATTTCCAAAGGAAGGGCTTCCTCATAGCAGTTGGTTTTACAATTTGAAGACTACAATATATTCTCTTCAAATGCACTAACCTATAGAAGAAGTGTCCTATAAAAATGTATCTGCAAAAGCTGGAACGTAAGATTTTACTGCACTAGGAGGATCACCTTGAACTTTGTAGGATCTCAAAGAGCTACATGGTTTCAATATTAATGCTTGCAGGCTTGGGGTGGCTGGAAAGACTTGGTGAATCTGGCTAGATGAGTAAATTTGGCATTAGAAGCAACAGCTACTTGGGGTCTAACACTGGTGTTACTACTGTCACTGTGTTTGATCTTCAAAAATTTATCTGCATTTCTGTTTATCTGCAAGCAAATAGTTTTGACACTACAAAAACCTAGCTCTTCGCATACACTTCAGATAGGATGTAGATGAAAGAATGAATATCCAAAGTGCCATCATTTCACAAAGAGATTTCATATATGGATATAAGTATATACACAGTCTGTGTTTCAGAGCTTCATTATCAGTGAAATGAGGTTGATCTGCAGCACAGGGAATACCAAAACATAAAAAAATCCCAGTTGTCCTATGGATATTTATGCATTTAGAAGCAAGATGAATTTGGAGGGGCGGGGGGGAAGTCAGTGTAAACAGAGCACTTATCCTGTCCCTTTAGATTTCTTTCCTTAATTGCTCTGGATATGCATCTTTCTTCAGAGACTGTGGTCTCCATCCTGCAGATTAGATCCAGATCAAAGACTGGGTGAGGTGAGCTACTCCAGACAGTGTGACATCTGTGACTCATGTCACGAACAAGGACAACAGCAGTAGTGGCTTAGCCACGAACATCAGAGGACATGAGCACGAAAAGAGTTGCAGGGGAAACTGTTCCACAGTAGAAAATATGACCTCAGCTAACAAATAGCAACAGACAGTGGAAATTACTCTTAGGGCCACATGAAATCACCTATATGTCTCAGTCTGTAAGATTGAAATCACTTGAGAGTCAGTAAAAAAGATGCTTACTGCCTGACAGTGACTTAGGACAATGGTGGCTCTAAAACAGATGAGTACTAGGTACCAGTAAAGCATGTGGCATGCAACTGGCAAGGAACCTGGGACCACCAAAGCAGAATATAAAATATCTGGCTTTCCAAAACAAGGTTTTCACAGACTGTGAAACACAGCAGAGAAAAGGCAAAATGAAAGGTGTGCGTTTTATTTGGTTCTTAACATGGGCCAACCTAGAAATCCTATAGACTGTTCCCCAGATTTATGAAATACAGTAAAAGAAGATGCCTTCTTTACTTATCCTTCAGTTATCTAACATATTACCCCAAAATTCACCAGTATTTTAGATGAAAATCTTATTTTCTGTAATTTATGTAATATATAGTCAAAATATTGATTTTGTATTTTTCTTTAAGATGGAGTAATTTATTATACCACTATGGATACTTAGTAAAACTGCATTATTTTCCAGTAACTGAAAATTTGGTCTCTCACAGATTTTCAGTTTTAGGAATAATTTTAGTTCAAATCACATCATCAGTGAAGAGTTGGGTTGCTTTCAGGCTATAATTCACCTAACACCTCCTTCAGATGCTTCCTTAGAAGAAGCATCACACATTAGAAACACCCATTTCTCTCCCCTCACTGCAACAAGAGGTTTAGCTGACTACCTCAAGGCAGACAGCCATGATTTCTCTCATTAGAACAAGGTAAGAACAACTCTATTTCAGCTGGCAAAGCATGAGTCTACACGAGAAAGGCTCAGTGAACTGTGCCTCCGAAGGGGTCTGCAAATGTAAATTACGTGTCAGAATCTCAGACTAATTCAGACTGGCTGGGGTGTCAGAGATCTCTGGACCAAGCTGCTGCACCCAGCAGGGACCACAGTGAGGGCAATCCCGAGCTGCTCAGCTCAGAGCTGGAGGAGTGGAAAACCACCCCGTTCCAGTACAGATGTGTCCCCAGGAGATGTCATGCCCTCCTTGGCTGATGCATTCTGCAGGAGCAGCAGTAACAAGTGCACAGAGCACACCAGCTGTGAGGAACAGCTCCAGACACCCATGGGAGGCCACTTCTCAGAAAGCTGAACAGAAATTTGAAGGGCTCATCTTCAGGGCATGTAGACAAGTCATCTTCTGGGGCTGTTTTGGCCTCTTTAATGGTCCAGTGGGAAACCTTGGACGGAGGAAAGAGTTTAAAAGCTATGAAAACAGGGTTTCTAACAGTGCTTTAAGAGAGAAATATTTTACAGTAAGCCTGCTTTTTATTTTTCTTTTATCCATTTTTATATCTTCCTACTTTCTTTATTCCTTCCTTTTTATTTTCTGATATAGAATAAAAAGCTCATGTCACAATATGAATAAAAGTTAGCACAAGGAAGAGTATTCCATACACTAAGTAACACAAACTCTGCCATTTTACAGACCATGCTTTCAGCTTTGTCCTAGACTGGCTCTTTTTGGTTGCTTTGACTATTCCAGAAAAGTACTCCTACCTTTTCAAAGTCAAACAACCCACACATGCTCTGCTGGCAAAACCTTGATCAAGTTTCTTGCCTTCTTGCACCTGCTGGTGATCATTCACCACCTCCTCTGAATTTTTTTTTTTCCACTAACAC